TTTTTTTCACGCTTCAGATTTTGAGGCCTCCCTATCTGTCTTTTGTTTACCATATGCCTTAATGTAACCTCATTTTTGTGTTTTTGTTTGTCATTTCATACAGGAAGTTGCAGTGAAGAAATTTATGAACCAAGATATCTCAGCGGATGCACTTGCACAATTTAAATGCGAGGTAAATGATAATATTGGAACTTTTGTGTGTCAAATGTGATCTTTTTTTAGAAGGTTTTCTGTTTTCTTCTTTGGTTTTAGTCTTCTCTCCTGTTTCTTGATGCAGGTTGAGATCATGTTAAGGTTGAGACATCCTAACGTTGTTCTTTTCATGGGAGCTGTGACTCGACCCCCAAATTTGTCTATATTGACAGAATTTCTTCCAAGGTTAGTTCTCAATTTTCGTATGCAAACTCATGAGGCCAATATCTGTTCTGATGGTTTTAGCTTACTTAGAATATATACATCATATAATATTAGTCTCTATTCAAAACAAAAGTTTAGCTTGCCATTATTTTTAGCCTTTTAGCTTATGCTGCTGTACCTTATAGTATTATTTGAGGCTACAACTTGGTGTCATCTTACCCTGCTCTCTGCAAATTTTATTTATATAAGCATCTAGCCATAAACCTTCTTAAACTCCCCAGCTACCCCATTTTCCCTGCCGCATTATGGGCATGTATATATTCCCTTGAGTGCTTTATGTGTTTCATACCTTAGTACTATATGTAAACACGCCATCATTACGTTTTTTTGAACAAAAGAGCAATTGAGGCAGGAAATGAAATGGGAGCACCAGTTATTATTGAACTGCCAATTGATCATAATAGATAGGGCATTTAATCTTGTTCCTACTATGTTATGCAGGGGTAGTTTATATAAGCTGCTGCACCGTCCAAATATCCAAATAGATGAGAAAAGGCGAATAAAAATGGCACTCGATGTGGTATTGGTTTGATTAATAAATTCCCGTTTTTTCTTCAATTAAGTTCTTTGCAACCTGCTAACATATGAAATTCTGTTAGGCAAAGGGAATGAATTATTTGCACAGCAGCCATCCAATCATTGTGCACCGAGATCTGAAGACTCCAAATCTCCTCGTTGATAAAAATTGGGTGGTTAAGGTCCGTCCAGTTTTTCCTTGTGACCATCTCATTCATTACAATGATGGATTTCTCAGTCTTTTCTGAACAATTTTTTCGTTTCCTGTAAAAAAATTTGTAGGTTTGTGATTTTGGGATGTCACGTTTTCAGTACCATACATTTCTATCTTCGAAGTCGATTGCTGGGACAGTAAGCTGTTTCTCTACCATATATTAGCATTTTCCATCTATAAGAAGATTTCTTCTTCTTTCTTTTCTAAATTCTTTACCGGTTATTTTTTCACAGGCAGAATGGATGGCCCCAGAGGTTCTAAGGAACGAGCCATCTAACGAGAAGTGAGATAATATAATAGTTCATCTGTACCCCCTCGAGTAGTAGAAAGAATTGTCATCTCTTGTTAATCTTATATTTTGCATCGGGCTGATTACTGATTGGCTTATTGAATTTGCAGGTCTGATGTATATAGTTTTGGGGTTATACTGTGGGAGCTGGCTACTCTGCTAGTGCCATGGACGGGGATGAACTCGATGCAGGTGGTTGGGGCCGTCGGATTCCAGGGAAGACATCTGGAAATCCCACCCACAGTTGATCCCCTTGTGGCGGCTATAATAAATGACTGTTGGAGTAGGTCAGTTTCCTTACCACGTATGAATTATGATTCCTATGTATTTTTAGTATTAATAAATGATTGCTATTTGAATTAGCTAGCTGTTCATGATATTAATAATAGCCATGATGATTAGTCGAATAAAACAACAATGATAAAAAATAAAAATTGTGATCCTTAAAACTTTAGATGGTTTGTTGGCATGTGTTTTTATTTTACAAATGGAAGCAAAAGTCTTAAGGAATGAACCTAGTTCAAGAGAGTTTTTGTATTGCCAGAAAATCTATATAATTCCAATTGTAAATCGCTCGTTTTTCTTTTGTAAATGGGGCTGCAATTAATATTTTGTAATTCTATCCCAAAATATGCGACGGATTTTGCAGAAATCCACAGGAACGGCCTTCTTTTGCACAGATTATTACACGGCTCAAGGGTCTGCAGCGCCTCACTGTAAAGCTGTAGAGGTCGGTGTTCGACTTTGGTGTAGAGAATAGGGGAAGAGCTCGTTTATGGACACCCAAAGATCCCTAAATTAGAGCTATAAGTAAGTAAAAAAAAATACTTTTGGATTGGGAAGTGTTGTTGGTTCATTCAAATTGGGAACTCAAGACGCAAGCAAGACACAGCCAAACTCAGACGGGAAAAAATGTTTCTTCAACTTCAAAAGTGTGGTTGAAGATCAGTTTGTGTAGTCCTTAAAAAATGGAAGAGGGAAATGGTAAAAAAAAACTCCATCTCTTCACGTTTCTAGATTCGAACTTGAATCAATGTAGTATTATCTATTTGTAAGAATGCCTGAATAAAAAGAGGGGAAAAAAAGATAAAGAAAAAAAACAAAAGAAGAGTTTTTGCATCTGTGTGAGATCATCAAGTGAGCAAATGTAAAATAGGGTCTCAACAGGTTGTACCTGAAGAAGAGTAAGTTTCTAAAGGAAGTGGAAATTGCAACTTTGGCCCCTTTATTTATTTATTTATTTTTTTTTATGTAAAACTGTTATCGTTTGTCTCGATTGTGAACCAATCACAATCGGCCACGGGGAAGGTCGTGACTGGTGTTAACTTCTCTATTCATCTCTAAATATGGAGAGCCCGTCTTGGGTTTAAAATTTAAATGCGTACTCACAGGATTCATTTGCCCACATCACAATTCACAGTATGCTATGCATACGGCAGCCAGCAAGAAGTGATAATTTTAATGCATTGAGAATTGATAGTGTTAATGAGTTAATTTACTTTATTAGATTAGTTTACCGACTTATTGAATCATGCGATTGAAAAAATTGAATCATTATTCGTTAACAATATTATAAGGAGAAGAATAATGGATTATTGTTCGGTTATCTCATTTATTAATCAAGAAATATTATCTAACGCTATGGCCAGTATGAATCATCAATACACAACTAGACAGATTAATCAAGAAATATTATCTAATGCTTTGAATCAATACACAACTACACAGATGTATGTGTGTTTGCAATCTAAAAGTTCAAATCTCTGCCATAGCGATAGGGTCAAATTATCCTCTATAAATCATTCTTAATGCATGGTGTATGTATGCATTCACAAATGATGTAGCAATTAGCATGACTCAAATTTAATGCAAGTTGTATCCATGAATTCACAAATAAACGTACAGTTGTGTATTGATTCGTACGTGTAAGTCGAAATTTCCCATTTTTCTTTAGTCTTTACACAATCAATCCATGATATGTTATACAAGTCGAAACTTCCCATTTTTTCTAGGGGGCAAAACGGACAAACTACGTCAAAACCGGCCCACTAGGAAATGAAGATTGTCCGTAGGAGTTGAGGTACTTTTCCCCTCCAATGAAGATATCCAATTCATTTTCCTTATCAGTCGTACTCGTAACTCATCCTAACATAAAATATTCAAAGCTTATCGAGGATTACAAGGATAAAGAAAAAGGAGGAAGAAAAAAAAAAAAATCTACCCCATTTGTATTTCTCGTCTCGACGTTTTGGAATCATCAAAGAGTAATTTCTTTAGTTCATTTGTAAACTGTGTTGTTCAAACTATGAGCTTTTATGATCCCGCAAAGGTTTTGCAGGTGAGCAAACTACTGTCGCATCTTATTTGGGTTGTCTAATTTTTGAATTTTTTCGCTGTTGTTTATTGGATTAGCTAGCTCATTTTTTATTTAATTTATCGGTTCGAGTAATCAGTGAAGTTTCAGTTTGAAGTTACTCATTTTTCCTTTTAATTCGTGGGTTTTATGAATCCGTATGTTGAGTTTGGAGTAGCCAAGTTAATTTGTTGATTTGCAGTCCTGTATGTGTAGATGTGGAGTTTAGAATTGCCAAGATTGAATCTTTCAGCTGTTTAGTTGCTAGATTACATCTAATTTTGGTTTTTTAAAATTTTGAATTTATGTTGTTGTTGTTTCTTGGATTATCTAGCTCATTTTATATGTAATTTTATTGCTTGGATTAATCCGTGAAGTTTCAGTATGAAGTTCATCTTTTTAGTTATGAATACGTATATTGAGTTTAGAGTAGATTTTGAGTTTAGAATTGCGAAGATTGAATCTTTCAGCTGTTTGATTGTTAAATTACATCTACTTTTCAATTTATTTTGCTGTTTCTGGAATTAGCTAGCTTAGTTTTTATGTAATTTTATCGGCTTAATTAATCGGTGTAGTTTCAGTGTGAAGTTATTCTTTTTACTTTCAATCCGTCGGTTTTGCAGTAATGAATGTGTATGTTGAGTTTAGAGTAGCCAAGTTAATTTGTCAATTTACAACCTCGTGTAGATTTTGAGTTTAGAATTGCCAAGATTGAATCTTAAACAGTGAATGATTGGTTTAATGGTTACAGTTTAGGACTCAGCTGAGTTCTTTCAAAAGAAGAAAGAAAAGCTAAAGGTGATTTTTGAGGTTGATAACGAACCTTAAAGGTTATTTTAGCATTAAAATGCCCATTGTTTTAGGCATCAATGATTTGTATTTCATGTGCTTGCAGCATTAGAAGTTTTTAACCGCATTTAGGTAACGTTGCAACTCGTAAAAAAAAAAAACCAAAATATCTCTTTGTGAATATCTTTCCTTTCCTTTTTAGTTTGTGTGTGTATGTTTATTTTATTTTATTTATGTATCAATTTTCTCCTTAGTCACTGCAGCTACATGCCTTCTGTTTTATCTTTCAGATACAACCTTTGATTTCTGGTGGCAACAGAATAATGATTCCTTTATCTTACAACCTAGTACAACAACCAAACTAGAGAATGTGAAAAAAAAAAAATAAAAATAAAATACTCGACAGCAAGATTGTGCTTAGCATATGCCTTCCTTCTTTTCTGCAATGGAAATGAACTTTGGTGATGAAATTGAAAATAAAAGATATGCGGAGAATTTCATGCACGATTTCTGGCCACTACCTCCAGTTGACCCTACGAAGGCCAAATTCCCGTGCTGTCTCGTTTGGACACCTTTGCCAGTTGTTTCATGGCTGGCCCCTTTCATAGGACACGTCGGGATATGCATGGAAAACGGCACAGTCTTAGATTTCTCGGGCTCGAATTTCGTGAATGTTGACGGTTTTGCTTTTGGACCTGTTGCCCGGTACCTTCAATTGGAACGGGAGCAGGTAATAAAGTTGTGGTTGGTAAGCATATAAGCTAGCTACCTAATTTGATTAGCTTATGAGCTTCCTGTATTTAAATAAATAAGTGTGGTTTGGTAGGACGAGAGCTCGAGTTTATCTCATAAGTTTTCTTGGGTAACTTTTCAAATAAGCCAATTGAAATTTTTATTTCAACTATCTTATGAGCTAATGTTACCAAACACTTTTATCATAATAACTATCCTTAAGTCATAAGCTATCAGCTATAATTTCGAAATTCACTTAAAAGTTATAAGCCAGCTTATCAGCTAGGTTTACCAAACATAGCCGAAATAAAGGAGTTCTTGATGATGTTCTAGCTATGTGTACACAGATAGTTCAAACTTCAAACATAACTTTTTTTTTTTTTTGAAAGTGTTGTTTCCCTCAGAATATCGGGGCCCACAAATGCAAGCACCGTTTCGCGCATTCCGAATACGGTGCAGCAATCACATGGGACGAAGCCCTGCAATCGACCGGGCGGCACTTTGAGCACAGGTCTTACAATCTCTTCACGTGCAACTGCCACTCATTTGTCGCCACCTGTCTAAACAGGCTCTGCTATGGAGGGTCCATGAGCTGGACCATGGTTGATGTGGCGGCCCAATTGCTGTTCCGGGCCAGGTGGGTCGGCCCGTTTTCCGTGCTGAGGTCGTTTTTGCCATTCCTTACGGTGGTCTGCTTGGGTGTGTTCATCGTCGGGTGGCCGTTTCTTATTGGGCTCTTCTCCTTCTCGTTTATGCTCGTCGGCTGGTTCGTGCTGGCTAATTACTGCTGTAAGAATTTTTTGGATTGTTGATTTTGTGTTTTTTGAGGTTCCCAGTGTTAGAATCTTGCTCAGAATTCAGAAAGAGAGCATTTTTTTTTTTCTTTTACATGTCTATTTTGTTCAAATATCCATTTTTTGCTAATTCGTTGGTGGAATCATTTTATTGTTGGATCAACACGCACTCTCCGTTTATTTCGTGGTGTAGTTTATACTTACACTATAAAATGGCGACTCGGTATAATTTTCTAATAAAGTATATATATGATATATCTGCTAAAAAAAATATGATTTTGACTTGACTACATGATATACATGTCTCAATCCAAAAAAATAGCCATCTTTTTATAATCACTAATAATCACTAGGAAGTTGCACGTGCAATGCACGTGATTATTAATATTTTTTTATGATTTAAAAGTTATATTTTAATTGAATTTATGGTTAAAATTCAAAAATTTTCATTAATTTAATAAAAAAGGAAACACATGTATAAAAAATTATATAAATATATTGACATTGGAGCATAATCTATTAATTTAAAGCTATACTTATATAAAAATAAATAAATAAATTTGAGTTAAAAATAAAAAAATAAAATTAATCACTTTTTAAGTGATTCTTGATTGCTAACGAAGTCAAATCTATCTATCATTTGTTTATAAATGTTGTCTTGTATTGAAATCATGACCATTGTTGTCATTATTTTCATTGATGTAATATTTTATATCCTCTTTTGTTGTCGCTGTTGCTTGTAGCGTTTAGATTCAAAATTAATTTAATGCTAATCAATGTGTTTGGATGTTTTATCTTACTCGTATCTTTGATATATTTATGTGAATGATTTAAGCAAAAATAATCATGAATTATACACAAATGTAAATTTTTATTTTAAAATATTTTTCCTTAAGTAAAAAATATATATTATATTATTAGAAATATTTTTTTTTGTTTATAACTTTAGAAAAAAAATTCCGAACAATATTATTTAAGTTCACCTTTAATAATACACATGCTATAAATATATTTTTATGCTAATATATATTGAATGTATCTTAATCCAAAGCTAATTAATGTTGTTGGATATATGCTTAAAATTCAAAAAATTTCATTAGTTTAATAAAATAGAAAACACATTTATAATAAAACATATAAATATATAGTTATTAGTGGTATTAATTAAAAGCTATAGTTATATAAAAATAAATTAATAAATATATGTTAAATTCAAAAATGAAATCAATCAATTTTGCAGTTATTGTTAATTACTAATGAAGTCTGATTTATCTATCATTTGTTAATTAATGTTGTCTTCATCATTGTTGAAATCGTGATCGTCTTTGTTGTTAATTTTATTGATATAATTTTTTTATATTTTCTTTTATTGTCACTGTTGTTTGTAGCGATTAGATTTAATTGTTAATTCAAAGGTAATCTTTGGATGTTTTCTCTTACTATATTTATGTGAATGATTTAAGCCAAAAATAATCATGCATTATACAAAAATGTAATATTGTTATATTATAAAAATATATATTCTATTAATAGAAATATTTTTTTTTTTAATTTCTAACTTATTAAGAAAAAAACTCAAAATAATAATATTTAGTCCACCTTTATCAGGATAATAATATTTAAATCCACCTTTAATAATCACATGATATATACCTATTTTTATGCTAATATATATTGTATGCATCTTAATTAAAAGTTAATTACCGTCGTCTAGATATTTTCTCTTGCTATATTTTTTTATTATAGTGCTGCTTTAGTGGGATAATATTTTTTTTTTACTTAATTTTGGTTGATAACATATAAACCTTGAAATTTGATGTATGCTTGCAAGGTCAGTCTTTCTTAATACTTAGATACTTTTTTGTTTTATTATTTTTTTTGCTTTCAAGAAGTGAGGCGTAACAATATTTTTTGAATGAATATGGCATGAATAATGGTACAAATAATATTGACTATGACATTTAATGTAAAGAAAACATATTTATTATTTACATGTGAATGATTGTGATGATAAATATTTTGTAACAATTAGTTGTATATAATATATTTATTATTCTGCTGCATATTAGTTATTATATTTTATATTATGTTTCATGATATTTATTCTTTGTTCGCACTAAAATTAAAATAAATGAAATATAAATCCAACACATATTAGTATGGAAAAATATTTATATTATTGTATTATTGAAATATGAATTTAAATTATACTATTCGAGATCTTCAAAAATTTTAATTACCTAAAAAAAATAGTAAAAGCAAAAGTAATCTTATTACAAAGAATAATAATATTAATTTATTATTTAAGTAACTTAAGATTATGAGATAAATTAAAAAAATATTATCAGAAATATTTTGTAATAATATTTTAAAAATTATAAAAAAATATTTATATTGTTGGATTACATATTCTTTTACTAAATAAATATATATTTTAAATTAAAAAATATATATTAGTTATATATGAGGATTATACTTTGCTTTCCATGATTTTTAAGAATATGATACTTGATACTACTACCTCCTTTTTTTTATAAATGTCATTTTGGCTTTATCAATAATTGTCTAAATAAATGACGTTTTGGATCTTTTGTACATATTTTTTCATTATTACCCTTATCTAGCTAATAAATACACTACGTCTTTTCATATTCACTCTTTATATTTTCTCAAAACATCCATCTCTATCCTCATTAATGAGGGTTATTATTGGCAAAAAAAATATTTTTAATTAGTGTGCAACTTCTCAAAACGACATCTATTAAAAAAAGGAGGGAGTATAATTTTTCAACTTAACTTTATTGAAAAATGAACAAAATTTTATTGAATATTGAATGCTAATAATTGTAACTCCCTAACATTAGTGATAAAATTACATTAGTGACCTTAGAAATTAATTATAGCGAAGGCATTTTTGGCATTCCAAATTTTTCAAGAAACAACTATCCCTTTTAAGAGAGTTATAGATATAGACATAGAAAAGCTAAATAGCTAGGCATATGTAAATAAGAAGATTATTTTTGCAAACAAATTACAAATTGTGTTACGAAACTATGTTATACAAGTAACACTACTTCAATACAAGCTACACCTTTTTCTCCATGAGGAGCTTTGATATTTACAATTTCCATGTACACAAATAAAACAGATACAAAACTAGAATTTCTGCACAAGAATTAATGATCAAATTCTGATCTGAGCTATGATAGAACAGTCTCAAACAATTTCAAATGAAAGATCTTTGCATCTCATGAATCTTCAACCTCAGTGTCGAAAACAAAACCGGGAAAAGCATCCGAGACATTCCTGGAAGAGAACGAACGCTAAGAAGATATTCGGATTACCAAAAACAAGATCATTTATGATTTATGAACCATTTAAAAACAAACGGTTTACTGTTTCAAGATTAATTACAACGAAACAAAATTTTCTTTCTTTAGGTTTATTTTGGTTGTAAAATAACTCGGCTTGTCTAAACGTACATCAAATAAGGTAGTGTCATGTTCTTCAAAAGTGATGGATGCCTAACGACAAATGACCTCCAATCTTCTTTATCAATTCTACCGTCCTTGCCAGCATCAGCTTCTTCAAACGTCTGTTTATCAAAGTGTGATGAAAAAAAAGAATTGGAGCTTCATCTCAACAGAAAAGAGACTTGTGTGATGTGAATGCACAATGAACCTTGTCAACTATATGCTCTATCGTATCATCAGGTAATGCCACATCAGATTCCATTAGTATAGCAATCACCATTTGCTTCACCTTGAGCCGAGAAAAAAATAAATAAAAAAGTTATGGAGAATAAATGAATTCACATCTCAATCAGTAATGCTCTGGAAGGAAATTGGGTACTTTGTTCATAAATTTCGTCCAATTTAGAGAAATCGGTCAAACAGAAGGATGAAAGAGCAAAATGGATAATCTAAAGGTAAAAGAGTAAGGAAAAGAAAGATCGGGCATCTTATATTATGATGAGAAAGTAGCGTAAGTGTTTTTTACTTAGTTTCTTAATCTATACTCACTTCTTCGCGCTCTATGAACCCGAATTGCCTCAGATCATAAAGCTTGAATGCAACTGCAGAACAAGAGAGAGAGTGTGTGTGTGTGTTAGTGAAAGTGCAAAACAATTGTAAATTCAAAAGGCTAGCAGTTCTCTTTCTTTATCACTCACAATCTATCTTATCTTCCACGGAGGCTCTGGGATGGAACACATCGAGCGAGTGAACGAACTCCTCCAAATCAATAACACCATTCCTTTTCATATAAAAAAGATCAAAAATCTGTGGGCAAATGCAGCAAAAGCAAAGTAGCTTCTTCAGCACATCTT